ACATTTGTAATTCTAAATACGATACAACTATTACTACTGTGGTATATTTGGCTACATCATTATGTGACATTGAACGTCATAGATCCAAGAACATTGCCATGATGGAAGTGGAACGTGCTAGTTGACGAGTCGTTGAAGTAATGCCATACTCCATAATGGATGTTTTATGCATAATTGTTAATTAAACACTGGGGGCACCGATTTGTCAACCACACCAATGCCCTTGTGGTGTCAGTGTAGACAAATTTGGTCTCCACGGGCTTTGTTGTCAAAAAAGTGCTGGCCGTTTTTCCCGCCACGGTTCCCTGAACGACATCAGCCGTAAGGCTCTTGTTTCCATCAATGTTCCATCTATTTTAGAGCCATGTGGCATTTTTCGCGACGATGGTAAGAGACCCGACGGTTTAACATTGATCCCTTGGGAGAGAGGCAAAGCCCTTGTTTGGGACGCCACTTGTGTAGACACTTTGGCTGCCTCTCATCTGAAGGGGTACTTCGGTCAGGGCCGGGGCGGCATCGGGGGCAGCTGAAGTAAGTAAATGGCGCAAATATGAGTCTTTATGTTTAGATTACGTATTTGTGCCATTTGCTGTTGAAACATTAGGTCCGTGGGGTCCCCGCACATCAAATTTTTTTTAAAGTTTATGTCCTAGGCTTAATGCCGCGGCTGGTGACAAGAGAGCTGGTTCTTTTCTCGCTCAAAGGTTAAGCATAACTATTCAGCGAGGAAATGCAGCTAGCGTTCTTGGCACCATGCCGCGTGGATTAGATTTATTAGATAATATGTAATTTTAGATAGATTTAATCTTTACATATTAGATCATTAAACAATAATTATATTTAATGCGCCTTTTCAACGCCTTCTGCCTTAGTTTTTAATCAACTTCAAAGAAGGAGGTTTCGCAATTCGACCGTATATATTATAATTTTTTATGGGTGTTCGCGGAAAACGTCGTCGTGAACCGATTTTGATGATTATTTTTTTGTTGGAAAGGAGATATCCTAAGCGTGGTAACATGATAAGGAAATCCGGATCTGAAAATGGCATCTCAGTGAAATCGAGGGCAATCCTCAAATGTTATAGGTTATAGGTTTTAACAATGATTTTTAGAAATGATTTTATGAAGAAACAACTAGAAATATTGGTTGGTAACTATCGAAAAAACGTGAAACCGCATATTTTGGACATATTTTGGATTATATAGACATGAGAAATATAACATATTGAAAAATATTATTGAAGAAAAAATAGCAGGAAAACGGGGAAGAGGACGAAGAGGAATAACTTGAAGTGACAATTTGAAAAAATGGACAGACATCAAAGACGCCGTCAGTCTTTGTAGATTGGCGCAGAATAGAGAAGAACTCCGTGTGGTGGTCGCCAACATTCGATAGGATAGGGCGCCCCTGAAGACGAAGAATTAGCTAATATTGGAACAGCTTATCTTTAGAGTCTCGTTTACTAGTATAATCTAACGTTATTACTTTGATTCTAATATTTTAACTATTACTGAACTTGAATATTTACAACTATTGTAACGACAAGTAGCACTAGTGGCTATATACAAGTAACTGCTGCTCCATGCGACCATGAGTCCCTTCGCTCGAGAATTTAACGTCATATCCTGTATACAGTGTTGCCAGCGACAACATTCGGCCGTCCTGAATCACGCCTTCGTCCTCGAATGGCGGCTTATCCCTCTCAACTGGGATACATATCGCCACGTTCAGAACACCTTACCCAGTGGCTTATCCCTCACAACTGGGATGTATATCGCGACGTTCAGAACCCCTTATCCTGTGGCTTATCCCTCACAACTGGAATACATATCGCCACGTTCAGAACACTTTACCCTGTGGCTTATCCCTCTCAACTAGGATGCATATCGCTACGTTCAAAGCACCTTACCCTTTGTCTTATTCCTCTCAACTGGGATGCAAATCGCCGCGTTCAGAACACCTTACCCTGTAGCTTATCCCTCACAACTGGGATGCATATCGCCACGTTCAGAACACTTTACCTTATGGCTTTTCCCTCACAACTGGGATGCATATTGCCACATTCAGAACACCTTACCCTGTGACTTATCCCTCACAACTGGGATGCATATCGCCACGTTCAGAGTTTTCAGTGATTTCGATTTCGGTTACACCAGTCGTGTAACGCTACCTTGTCTCACCAGTTCATGCTTTAAATCTTCCAACTACTAAAATGCTCTGTAGCGTAACCGGGTAAACCAGTTGTGTATCGTTATTTTAGATTTTCTCAAATATGTTAAGTAATTAATTAACTGCAAGGTACTCACCAAAAATTTCGTTACACTTAACCAAAAGATTTTATTACCATTACGTATAGTAAGTATAAAACACACTGTTTTATTTTACGAGGATAGGTACCCAAGGAGAAAATATGTCGTAGATTGTTTGAACAGCGAAGATTAGCGATATTAGAGTATGTTATTACTTTGATTATAATATTTTAACTATTACTGAACTTGAACATTAACAATTGAAAATTATTGAAAATTATTATAACAAAAAGTAGCACTAGTGGTAATACTAGATTGTCCGAGCCCGGGTTTTCGTCTACTTTCAGTTTGTTCAACGCCACAAGAATGTCATTTTCTTCAATTTGGGATCTTTTTTGTATACTCTTGATATTTTGATTCCCATGACCGATGTCTTCTGGCTATTTTGTACTGTAGAGATCCCTGTAGTACTCCGTCTCTATGCTGATGATGTCGCAGCGGTACCTGACAGGGTAACGTCATCGAAGATCGCTTGTGCTCCGATCTCACAGAGCCACATTACATACGACACATAGACTCCTATCATTGCTCAACAAACCATTAGTTTTTATTATATTTTGAAGTTTTAATTAACTAAACATTTATCGATATTTATTTTTATTTTTTTCTTTTCCCTTATATGAGCAAGACAGAAAATTTAAATCTAAATTAGTGTTTATTATCAATTTAATAGACTGTGAAATATAATTTTTATTGCAAACTTTTTCTACTTCTATGGTTATCTGTTCAACATGGGCAAAGAAATCAAACAATGTACTTGATGGTTAGCACAACCATTTTTTGTCACCATATTCTTTAAGCTAGGGATGGGTCGTATCGCTTTTTCTGAGTACCGTATCTGAATCCGATATCGATTTCAAATATCAGATTTCGAAACTATGTATTTTAATATCTAGATATTTTACGGTTCCCTATCCACGTTGATTAATAGAATTCTAAAAAAAAAAAAAAAAAAAAAATTATTAAAAATATAAATGATTTATGATGAAAATGATTTATTTTAACATCTTATATACCGCTTAATAATTGACTTTAACATATTTTTAGAACACGCAATCGAGTGGCAATATTTTTATTATTTGTGTAAGAAATAATACATTCAGTATTATAGCTTAGGGCGGAAGAATTTAAAATATACACACAAGGCACATAAGCCTTGGTCTGATTTCCACCAAAGCAGCACAGCACTATTAAATTATATTTTTCTTTTTGTGTACTTTTATCTTTTTTCCAAAAATATGAATAAAATTCAGCTAATAAAAATATTCACAAAAAATTTACCTCCTAAAAAATTTACATTGTATATTTTTCTTCCTTAATTTAGGCAGAAGAAATTCTTAAGTAGTAAGTTGGCATCCCTTACTATTACGTGTTAAGTACCAATGCAATCCAGCTCAAGGCTGAACAAAATTTCAAAGACATCGTTAATACCGTAATTCGTATTTAAATGCAACAGAGTTTTTTTCCATGCTGTTAAGATTCAAAATTACTTAACTGCGCGCTTTGTCGCCCGTTACGGCTCAAGGCTAAACAAAACAATAAAAATATAATAATATCGTTGTAGTAATCGCTGATACCAAGATTAGTATTTAAATGAAACGGATCTTATTTGCATGGTGTTAAGATTCAAAATTACTTAACTTATTCATAATATCTGTTTAAAAATCTGATATCGTGCATTGCTTGCCGTCCCACTCTAACTAGTAAGTATTTATATCTCACGCGCTTTGTCGCTCAATATCTGATATCGTGCATTGCTTGCCGTCCCACTCTAACTAGTAAGTGTTTATATCTCACGCGCTTTGTCGCTCGATATCTGATATCGTGCATTGCTTGCTGTCCCACTCTAACTAGTAAGTATTTATATCTCACGCGCTTTGTCGCTCGATATCTGATATCGTGCATTGCTTGCCGTCCCACTCTAACTAGTAAGTATTTATATCTCACGCGCTTTGTCGCTCGATATCTGATATCGTGCATTGCTTGCCGTCCCGCTCTAACTAGTGAGTATTTGTATCTCACGCGCTTTGTCTCTCGAAATCTGTTTAAAAATCAGATATTGTGGCAAACGCGTATGATATCGCCGTATCGCGATTCGTGTCGGTATAGCGAGCGAGCACGGTACATCAGATTTCGGAAATATCAGATATTGTAAAATACATAGATATTGAACGAGCCAGTAAGCGATATTGGGATATTGTACTAATATCTAGTTTTCATATCTGATACGATTTGTATCGCCCACTTCTACTTTAAGCTTTTATGGTGTTTTTGTAACACACCACTTTATATTGTTTTTGAGGCCGTGGTTCTAGATAAATTCGTGGACATTTTCCGACAAAGCTACAAGTACCGTAAAAAATCTGCTAACCTGTACTTGAAAACAAACGCATGCCACACGAACCACAGATTGTTAAAAACTAGCAACCCAACTTGACTCAATTCTGGCTGGTAACACTGAACCACGCCATCTGTTTGCCGTTTGCTCGGTTGCCTTGCCAAACCAATGCCATTCCTCGTGTTCAATTCTAAGTTCGGCGCCATTTTGATCAAACGGAGCTTCATGGCAGAGAAACATTTGCGTATTTAAAAACGTAGCACAAGTTTTTATATTTAACTTAAGCAATTCATAAATTGTTAATAATTTTGTAACTTGAAATAATAATATAATTATAAAAACTTCTAAACTCAATGATGGAAGGGCCGAACCGGGGTGGATTTCGTGGTGGTGGCCGTGGTGGACCACCAGGGCTAAGAGGAAGAGGAGGATTTGACATGCGGGGCCGGTAAGACCTAAAAACTTAGACAATATCCTTTTCCTTAAAAGTAACAATAATAAACAAATTCCAACAAAATATTTGCCCTTAAAAGGTTATAAATAAAATCTGTAAGGTAATGAATCTCGAGAGAACTATTACAAATCTATTAATGAAATAAAAGTCAAAATTATTATTTACTATGAGATTTTTGTAATACATTTATATTGTTTCAATTATTAAGTGTTTCACAATCGCTTATAAAAATTATCAGAGGCGGGCCTGGGATGAGAGGACGCGGCGGGCCACCTCGCGGTGGACCTGGACCACGTGGAGGCCCTCGGGGTTTTAGGGGCATGCCAATGCGCGGTGGCGGCGGGGATAGAGGTGGTCGTTTTCCACCAGGCCCGCAGGGTCCTGGACCCCATCCAGTCCCTACTATCGAAACAAGAGGCGGTCCACCGCAAAGTGAGTACTTAGTTGACACATAGTTCACTTCATCTATTCTTTAGATAATCTAGAATAAATTGCTGATAAACATTTAATTCCCAACCGCCTGTCTTCAACATGTTTATTGAAATACTTTATTGTGACAAGTGCTTAGGGTGATAACTCCGTGCTGCAGTTGCCAAGGTATTGGCTTTGGGGGTTGTGAGTTTCAATTCCACACTAGAAAACTTTGTGACCTACAGATATTTATCCACTTTTTTGGATCTGGATGTTTATCCACATGAAATTTATGTATATAAAACATCTTTACAACACAGGATAAGGTTATCCTATAGTAAGAGGGAATGTTTTCCAAGGAAATAATACAATAGACATTCTAAGTGTCAGTGATCATTAGGACTTACTACCCAACCTCTTCCACACAAAAATACTAAATATAAGGATTTCTGTGAATAAATTACATAGAACCTAAGTTTAATTAAATTTATAAGCAAAGATAAAAGCAGCAATAATTTTTTTTTGTGGCACAACAGATTAGATAGACCCATTATTAATTGATGTATTTTTATTGATGCGCAAATTTTAACATAATAGAAAAAAAAGTATATTTGCTTAATAGGAGGAGCATTTAACAATAGGGGTGGACCTGGTGGAATGAGAGGACGAGGTGGCAGAGGTCGCGGGGACTTTGGACTACGAAATGATAGAGGTGGTGGTGGAAGGGGAATGCCTATGAGAGGTATAGTAATCACACATATGTAAATATATAAATTCTGAAAGCTTTTGTGTGTTTTGCATTTTGTATAGAATTTGTAATGGCTATATTTTCATCTGCTGGTCTACTGCCGAATAATATCAATCCCTTAGTATTAATCTTAATTTTTTTTTCTTTACATCTTAAAAACAGTAAATAGGCCACATGCCTGTTTTATAACATCATATTATTATTAAGGTCGTGGTGGCAGAGTTGGTCCAGGAGCACCATTAAATGGACCACCAGGTGGTGGCCCACCCCATCACCCAGGTCCCCATGGACCCCCAGCACAAATCCCAAGTGGACCTCCCAATATGCCACCAAGAGGGGGACCACCTGTACCTCATCAACCAATTGGATTGCAATCAAGTCCTCAAGGTCCTCCATATAAGCGTGGTGGTGGACCTCCACACGGAGGAGGAGGACCACCAAAGAGAGGAAGGTTTGTACTTCATACCCCCTTTAATGGTTGGTAATATGACATAGTTGGTATGTTATTTATATGCAGGATAGAAGAAAACAGTATCTGTCATATAATTAAAACAAAATATTTTATGAAAATTTATTAAATCTTGTGCTTCAGAAATGCATTAAGCATTATTTCTGGAGTTTGCAATTTCCACCAATAACTTTGATCTACTGCTATTCACTTAAAACATTAAATATTGCAGAAAAGTATTATTGCGGGCTAGTTATGAATACTTATAACTGAAAAAAATATACCGCAAAATATAACCTGTATTAAAACACTAATTATTTCAACACGCAAACAAGTATCAAGATCAATGTGTATTTGGTGGAGAACTTCTATATTTAAGAATAAATAGGTTTACAATTGATATAATACTAACCCCCACACTAAAGCACTTTACAACGCGATATGCTTAGATTGCTCCTATGATACTTATTTGTTGTAATTATAATACTTGATATCTTCTACGATTTTTAATTGAAGTAAAATAGACAATATTTAAAAAAAAATTATATAGTTATGTGCATATAGAAAATCTAAGCTGATATGCAATAAAAAAATCCAGTGTTTTGCATGTCTTTATATTGTATGTAGGGACCATTAATGTATTTGCAATTCCATAAAAGTAGGGTTTATTGTGAAAAATGAAAATATTTTTTTTTCTTATAAATCCTTTGTTTAAGCCAATTTTCTAACCAGTTCCTTATTTATCTTCTTACTTATGTCCCTGAATTACTAATATTGTTAAAAAAAGGTTTGATGGTCCACGTGGTGGAGGAAGTGCCAGGCCTCCAATGCAAGGTGGATATCAAGCACCACCTGTCCATAATCCTCAGCAGGCTAATGGTTATGGTCCACCTTCGTAAGTATTCATAAAAAATTAGTTGTATTTGGCCCTTATATCATTGAATATTTTTTATAAAATTACATGTGATGATCCACAATCTTGATAGGAATGTGCCGTCTGATACATATATGACGTCATTTAAAATCTGAGAAATTTAGTTTTCATTACTTCACTCATGGTATTTTATCTTTTTTTGATATTATTTATCTGTGTCTACAGGCATACAGGTTACCAACCATATGAACAACCATCTGTTGAACCATTTTCACCACCATCATACAATACATCAAGGTAAGTTATTTGCTTTAATTTTATATAAAAAGGTTAATAATGTGTGATGAAACATTCAAGATAGGAATTGCCGTCTGATACTTAGATGCCGATACTTTATAATCTGATTTTCTTTTATAAATTCCTTGGTAAGCATTTGTAAGCAGCGTGTTAGAAACAATTTAACTTTTCAGTTCATATCAAAGTGGCAGCTATTCAGCGCCAGCTCCAGCACAACCAACTTCTTATTCAAGTGGTTATGGATCAAACTATGGCTACTCTACGGGTGGACAAGGAAGTTATGAGAATAATGGATATAGGTTTGAATTTATTTAGATGTATTCCTTATTTATTCTATTAGGATATACTTGCTTTTATGAGACTTTTCCCCTTAATATATTGCTTTATATTTAGGGAACAAGTGTAGTATTTTGTAATAAAGGTAATGCTCTACCATGATGAGTGCTGAAAATTTATATTTATTTTGCACTCATAGTCTGTTCTACATTTTAAAAATTGTAGAATTTTTAGTGCTTTCAGTTTCATTATTTTATTTCATACTGCATAAAAGCTCTTTTCATTGTTTAAGTCTTATTTGACCAATATTTCATTTGCTTTCTGTGATAGCGCAGTGACAGGGCGCTCACCTTTAAATCAATATACTAAAGTATCCTGCATTCAATCTCCAGGCACCAATTAATTTTTTAATTTAAAGTGCTGACTTATCACATGCTCAGCAGTTAAGAAAAACATTGAGGAAACTGGCATATTTTTGAAATATTAAAAAAGTAAAGCAACAGCCTATACATGTCGCACTGGTGGGCAAAGGCCTCCTCTATACAGAGGGTATCAGGGCATAGTCCGCCACGCAGCCCCACTGCGGATTGGCGGACTTCACTGAATTGATATCTTCGAATTTTTTTTTGTTATTACGAAAATATACAGGTTTCCTCACGATGTTTTTATTCACTGCGGAGCATGTGATAAGTCAGCACTGAAAGTTAAAAACTTCATTGGTGCTGGCACCTGGGATCAAACTCAGGTAGCTCGTGTATATTGAAATAAAGGCTAGCGCCTGGACACTAAGCTATCACGGCTCTCGAAATATTACCCGAAAATATTTCGGAGATGAAGTCCGCCAATCTGCAGTGGGGCTGCATGGACTATGCCCTAATACCCTCTATACAGAGGCTACCTTTTCCCAGCTGTGGGACATGTATAGGCTGTTACTTTAGTTTTTATTTTTTATATTCATCAGTGGCAATACTGGAGCAGATCTGGGGGGTGCAGGTGATGCTGGTTATGGAGTTGCAGAGCCCGCATATGGCGGCTCCGCTCCTTCATATGACTCATATGCACAACCTGCCTACACTTCCTACCAGCAACCCCAGCCACAATATTCCAACAGCTATGGTAAGTATCTGAGATTTTAATGACAATGAAGTTCCTTTATTATATACCAGTATTATGATTAAGAGATCCATATAAAAAGTTTAAATAAGTGTGAATAAAAAAAAATTTATTCATTGGCATCTATTGTTGGTTATAAGTTTGACTATAATTTGTTTCCTTTTATATTAAATTGAATTGTTGTTATGCACAAAATGCAGAAGTTATAATATAGATTTTGTTTAATATTATTTGGGCAAGTTGTGACTTAGTAACAAGTTGTTATTGTTATACAATACATATACAGCGTGTCGTTACAACCGCGACAATAAATGAACACACGTGTAACGTTACTTGTCAATTATCAAAATATTAAAACGTTAATTTTTCAAACGAAATAAATAAAAAATAAACAAAATTTGTAACATCCCCTATACAACTACAACTGACTGATTCATACATTCAGAGATGTTTTCATTTGTTGCACAATGTCGCATTACAAGTCTCTCCTTCTAACAGTATGTTTTATCTCTTTTAAATTCATTCAACCTGTTCATATGCTTTGTGACCTTCGCAAATGAACTTTACGTTACAGTTTCATGCGTAAGGGTGTTCTAAAAATGTTTATTTTGTAAAATTTAATAACTCTGTAAATATTGATGTTTAAAGAATGTAAATACTTAATACAATTTTAAAAAGTTATCCTCTACATGTGTGTTCATTTATTTCAGTACCCAATTAGTTCTTTAGCATTTCTATATTGAAAATTAAATACTGATCACATGTTAAAGCAACTTAAACCATATATGCATAAGATTTCAAAATACGACATTATGTGGCAGAGTTTTTTATGGGTTTCATATTTTATTCAATGCAAGTAATATAATGATTATAAAATGCAGCATAGACAGATAATAAATATGATGAAATTATATGACAAGGAAATGAGTTTATGAGTTCATAGTTAGGACCACACAATATATAGAAAATTACATTTCCACTAAGTTGATATTAGGAAATATTATATTTCAGAATAAACCTGACATTTAAGTATGCAGTAATGTTATAAGTATCTTAAGTATCTGTCTAATTGTTTGCATTACAGGCAGTTGGTGATCTGTTTGACTATAACAGAAAGTATTTGCGTCTATATGCCACACACGAAATAAAAGTAGCTGGATCAAATATTTGAAGCTAATGGATTCACTTGTAGTTTTTTTGCATAAATATATTTAAGTATTAGGTAAGATAAAACAATGAAACTTAATAATTTCTCAAAATCTGACAAGAATGTGGAATTCAATTAACTTTTAACTTTATACTAAATTTAATAATTTAAAAAAGGAGTTTTGTCAAATTTTCATTATTTTTATATAACTTGTGTCAATCTCAATATGTTATAAAATCTAGTTTATAATTATTCAGTGACCCACAATTTTAGGTTAGGAAATACCTTGATGTATTTTACGACATTCTTGTAACTGTGGTATGTAGGTACCAATATGTTTTAGATGTTAAGGACGCAATTCGTAATAAAATTATGAGAGATTACATTGTGTGTGATTTATTTATACAAATCTGAATAGTTTAATATGCATTATGAAAATATGGGTCACTTACTGAAATATTTTTCTCGTAGTTAGTATAATATTCTAAATTTATATATTAGATAAATAAAAATGTTAAAGCAGAAGGAAGATTGACAGTTATGCAAATTATTAGGTAACTTTCTTTGTTTTAATACAATTAAGAAATTCAAAGAAATTGCTTAGATAACTTAAACAATGAATGAAAGACGTTATTAGTGTTGCTATTAAAAATAATGAGGGATAACAAATATATACTATGCAAGTCTTAGTTAATGTCTAGCTAAAACTTAATCTGTTTTGTACTTAATTATCTGGATGTGTATGATTAGACCATTTAATGAGTATAACAACTGTTACTATATAGTCCGATTCACTGAATGAAAGTCAATATTTATTAACAAAGTAAGAGTACATTACGTACATGCATAACAATCAAAGCAGCAATCACATAACATTATGTCAAAAAATAATCATGTTTTTGTTAAATTGCCTTGGTGTTTTAGAGGTTTGTTTGAAAAATAAGGTAATCAGGTATTTAAACAATGATAATGAATGAAATTAACTTTTTTATATCAATGAATATTAATTTGCTTTTTCTATTTAATAGTTTTTTTCATTAATTATTACTTATTATTATATCTTTTCACAAAAAGTAAAAACAATGTCACTGTTGTATCTCACCATATTAATAATGAGTAAAACTCCTATTATTTCGTATATCATTTCGATTTTCTTTTGATCATCCTTTAATCAGTCATTAATTGCAAATCAAAATGAACATCGTGTTCAGGCTTTCTAGCAACTCAAATCATGTTAAACAAAAATTAACATCTGATTTATTGTAAATTAAAATTGATTGACCTTTGGGAATCTGGGCGTAAAAATTATATTATTGAATATATGCCTATACTGCATGAGCTAAGTGAAAAATGTTGAAGTATTACAAAGTAGGGATATATTTGCCATGTGATAAATATATAGAGAATATATCAGAATATCATGTAATATAAAGAATATTCATACTTCAAAAGGAAACCAGATGAGAATGATGTAAAGTATATCAGTACGAGGTTTGAAGATAATTTGTTTATAAGTATTACAGGTAATGGATATTCACTATTTCTAATACTAAATAGATTTAAAAAAATTGCATTAGATGAATTTAGCTTAATACACAAAGCCTTAACGTTATTCTAATTATGCCTAAAAATTAAAATTTATTTATTGATAAGAATTATAAATCTAGTATCAAATATATTTTAACAATAGAGACTAGCATAGAATCTTTTCGTACTTTTTCTACATGTTTTAATGTTCAATCTTAAGTGCAGAGATTAGCACTATAAAAAAACTTTAAAATTTATAAAAAGCAATGACGACATCTCTCGTTCAAATTATCGTTGTAAAACGATATTCGAAATTGTTTGTATGCTGGAAAGGACATAGCAATAGATGCGCCAAGCATTGCTTCTAATGCTAAATAACAGTGTAGAAAGAAGGCGTTAAGATTTTCGCCGCTGTGTCTATCAGCCGTTTAGCTCAGTGGCTAGAGCGTCAGGCCGCGAATGCCGAAGACGTACGTTCGATTCCCTCAGCGGCGACAATCTTTTCGTACTTTTTCTACATGTTTTAATAGAGACTAGCAGTTCAAAAAGAACCAATACAAGAAATAAATTTAACTTTCTTAATTGATATTTTAACACTACTACATTAACTATGAATCTTTTTCTGTTAGTAACTTAACTGTTCTGAGTGTTGCATAATGTGAAAGAAGATACTATGATACAAAAAAGTATTTTTATGAATATGAAGTAGGGAATATTTAAGTCATTGGAATTGGAATGAAGCTTGAGAGGTGGAATACCGGAATAGTATAGGTATTATATAAACGTTTTAAAGCCCATGATGTTTTATGTAAGACATTTGTAAGTGAGAGGATTATCTTTTCTGCAATCAAGTCTTAGTTATTTAGTCTTTAAAATTAAAATAACAAATGATATAAAATGAATTATTACATTTCTACATGACAACAAAATTCTACTTATAACCTCAATAAAAATTGAACGTCATTACATGAATATTTTGTGAATGTAGTTTTTTAATGTTCATAATTTTGTAGTTTTGATTTATATTTTAATCTTATTTGATATTTTTAGGTTATGGATGAATTAAGTTGAAAACGGCAATCTTAAAAAATATTTTCTCAACAAAATCAAGTGATAGAAGCCAGTTGTAACAAGTGTGAGGAAACTGAGGTTTGTATATTTTTATATCTAATATATAAAATACTCGTGCCACGGTGATTGTAATTGAATTCCTCCGAAACGGCTCAATTTTTTTCGTAAAATTTTGTGTGCATATCGGCCAGGGTGGAGAATTGGACATCTATTTTTCATCCCCCTAAATGTTAAGGGTGGTCCACCCCAAACATTTTACCCTACAAATAATTTATATGGCAAAACAACGTTTGCTGGGTCAGCTAGTAATTATATATAAGATATAATAGCTTAACAATTACAAGCAAGAGGCAATATAGCCCTTGGTGATAAGCATGGAAACTCGCTAAAACCATATGGTCTAAGATCCGGCTGCAGAATTATTGCTGTCGGGTATATGCTAAAATCCAACTTTTTAAGCATATTAATGATTATGAGAATATACAGCGTGTCGTTACCATCGCGACAATAAATGAAGACGCATATAGGGGATAACTTTTTAAAGTTGTATTAAACATTTAAATTCTTTAAACATCAATATTTACAGAGTTATTAAATTTTCCAAAACAAATAATGTTAGAACACCTTTACCTATAAAATCGTAACGTAAAGTGCATTTGTAAAGGTCACAAAGCATATGAATGGGTTGAATGAATTTAAAAGAGACAAAACATACTGTTAGAAGGAGAGACTTGTAATACGACGCTGTGACGCGAGTTGTGTAGGATGTTACAAATTTTGTTTCTTTTTTACTTAATTATTTTGTTTGAAATTTTTTTTTTAATTATGGATTTTGTTTAAGGTTATTATTTTTTTATGATTATTGGCAAGTAGCGTTAGACGTGTGTTCATTTATTGTCGCGATGGTAACGACACGCTGTATAATTACCGGGTTGCGTATCAAATATTTTTTTATCATTGTTAATTGATTTTTCGGAAAAAATTTCGAATAGAATATCGTCCACATTACGGCAATACACATATAGACTGAAAAACTGTTGCCGTTGGCTTCTTGGCCGCGCCGCTTCGCAGTTAGGTGATTTAAAAAAAAAATAGATTTATTCTAACCTAAGGACTTTTATGTTAAATAACGTACATTTAGTATTTTTTTTTATGTGTAAGCCATAAACGAGCTGACGGTTTAGCTGATGTTAAGTGATAACCGCCGCCCAAAGACATCTGCATCATCCGTAGGTTTGCAAATGCGTTGCCACTTTTAAAGGAAGTCGGCCACGGCTACCTCACTCACCACAAGAACGCAGAATTGTCATACTTCTACTTTACGCTGGTCTCCTGTGAGGTTGTGGAACTTATCCGGATAGACCTGCCATTTCGTGCAACAGTGAACACTGTTGTATGGCCCTACCACAGTACATTTAGTGTATTTTAAAACATTTTTCGTTTGAAAGTAGTAGCAACCATAAACTTGAAAATAGGAATCTTCACAGAAGGCAAATCAGGACAAAATTTAATCTGAAGTGGCATTATGACCAGTTTCCAAACTTTAAATTTTACACTCTCTGTAAAATATAAGCATGGCACAAAATATTTTCCAATTTCCAATAAAGAAATGTTGTTTATGGAATCTTTTATATTAGACTATAGAATTTACATTGTTTTTTTTTTGTTTCAGATGCACAGATATTAAAAGCTTGAGGAAGATTCTTTGGTGCAAAAATTTTAAGTTTGTGTTTGTATTCCATGAACATATTACTTGTGCTGTGTTATAAGGAACAGGATCTCCTAATATTGAATATATTTTTATTATTTTTAGCCATATCCAAAAAGAGAAAGCATTTGGTATTTTAGTTTTGAATCCTTATTTAAAACATAACCATTACACCTATTAATTGTAAAAAAAACGAGTACACTTATTCTAAATTACTTAAACATTCACATTATACAGCGTGTTGTTACAACATTTTGTAACATCCTATACAACTACAACTGACCGATTCATACGTTCAGAGACTTTCATTCGTTGGCACAGCCTCGCATTACAAGCCTCTCCTTCTAACAGTATGTTTTGTCTCTTTTAAATTCATTCAATCCATTCAAATGCTTTGCGACCTTTACAAATGCACTTTACGTTACAGTTTTATACGTAAGGGTGTTCTAAAAATGTTTGTTTTGTACAATTTAATAACTCTGTAAATATTGATGTTTAAAGAACTTAAATATTTAATACAATTTTAAAAAGTTGTCCTCTATATATGTGTTCATTTATTGTCGCCATTGTAAAGAAACGCTGTATACTTTTTGGACTTATGTTGTGATTTGAAGATATTTATGTTTGTAGAAACGTTGGCCGCAATCCGTATCCGTATCGCGCCAACTACGATTTGTCACAAACGTTTCGCAAAATAGTCTTCTACACATTGGTTCAATGCTTTGGCCCAATGTGTATACCTTAACACGATCGATCGAATTGGCAACCTCGCATTTTTTTCAATATGGTGGTGGTTCAATGTTAATTGACAACCGACACTATACCCCACCCCTTCTCCCACAATAAAATAATGTTATTAAAAATAATAAATTGCACAAAGATTTTTGTCTTAATATTCACATAAATGAATAATGAAATAATCAGAACATAACCAAACTCTCAGCAAACTTCCCTTGAAGTGCATCCTTTCCAATATAAAAAGAATCATCGAAATCCATTGGCGTGAAATTGAATTATTCGTCCAATTGCGCGCACATACTTATTGCAAATTTAAGATTTATAAGAATTTCTCATGCCATTTTCAGAGCTGGACCAAATTTTAATTTTATTTTATAGAGCAACAAAATCCACAATCTTTAGTTGTTTGCATTTGTATCACATATGACTAACTTACAGCCAATAAAGGGATTTACATTTTATAGTTAGAATATCCTTACTTCCTTACTAATATTATAAACGGGAAAGTTTGTATGTATGGATGGATGGATGTTACTCTTTCACGCAAATACTACTGAATGGATTTTAATGAAACTTTACAATAATATAGTTTACACATCAGAATAACACATTGGCTATAATTTATATGCATATTTTTTGTTTAGCAACTATAAAGATATAAGATCGCATGAACCATTTTGAATATCGACATCCTTTTCTGCGTATAACAGGTTCACCTGAAGACCAGTCTATACAGGGTAGATTAAAATCACTAGCAACAATAATGTGATCGTTTGTATTTTTTTCGCGAACGGATTTTAGCATGTTAAGAAAATTCTCTATACACGATAGTATATTATTTGGCCGTATATATACTGCAGCTAGATGTAAGTTATGTGAAAGTCCTATGTTATTACTGGAAATTGTGACCCAAATATATGCCAGACTCTCACTATTCCATTCTTGTAGATTAACATAACAGCATAACACCACCTCCTAGCCTATCTCGATCTCTTCAGAAAAGTGATATAAACTTAGCTGTTAAATATTTCCGCATCTAAGGTACCTTCGCATAACCAGGTCTCAGAAATCATAATTACGTCGACCTGACAGGTTGTTATAGAAAATATTTGTTTTTGTCCGTAGCCCACGGACATTTTGATATATAAAAGTTAAGTTTTTATTGTTTATATCCATTTCGTATGACGGTGAAATAAAATAACTTATGTACAAATACTGAATAACTTTAAAAACATTAAAATTAATAGAATAAATGTGAAATTACAAAAAAATCAATACTGTACATAGTAAAAACATTATATTAAAAGAAACACGCAATTTAAAATAATCATTATAAATTAACGCAATATTATCAACATTTATATTAAATTTCAGCAATAACATTCCATACCTCCTTTTTATACTAAATAGGTATAATACAAACAGAACGAATGTACCGTTATACTTGAAACCTTCACCCAGCCGAAAGTTCTGAGGTAACAAACATAAAAAAATACAGTCAAATTGAGAACCTACTCCTTTTTAGAGCAAGAGCCCAGGTCCGCCAGACGTTACTTATTTTCTGAGTAACAAAATATATTGTACAGAGTAGTGTTAGAGTATACTCTGAAGGTATACATACCTGCTAGCTTGGGCTGGCGGCGTACAGATGCACACTCTTGTAACTTTATTACGATAAATCATCAGGACTACAATTAGTAAATTGAAGTGCTTTGATGAGGATGTCATATAACTTGTCAGAAATAGACCAAATTACAAGTAGAATAAATTTAAGAAACCGACTGCGTTTCTGTGTATTTTTTTTTTATATATAAAGTGTCAGTTTCACAGTAAATAAGAATCTAACGACACCTCAGGCTAAAATCCATCAACCCATTCAGGCTGCAGAGCATGCCAAATAATTATACATAGAATCATCCACACATACTCTCGAAAACCATAACCCTCCTAGAGCAGTCGGGTAAAAATGGGACTACACTGGAATCGCCAGCTTTAAGATAAAAAAGAATCATCAAAATCGGTTAAACTAGTCGAAAATTCGGAGGTAACAAACATAAAAAAAAAGTTATACATTGAATTGAGAACCGAAGAGACTTTGAAGTCTGTTAAAAAAGGGTACTTATTTGCCTATTTGCGCCCTAAAATTTTACTTGCATCTTATTACCTGTACGACCTCACATGCATGATTATGATTAATTCATAATTTTGTTTGTATTTAATATAAGTAAATTGGGCAGTATAAACGAAATAGTTATGTAGGTACCATACTTATAACACGAACAGGCATCAGTTTTATGTCATGGACTGCTGCTTGAGCAACAGGCTAACACCCGGTCTCTGAAACATTTATCATTGTAAAGATCAACTAATCAGCTCTCAAATGGCTTTACAAATTTCATTTTCGTTGCAGGATTGTTAAACTCTCTGAAATGACCAGAATGATCTTAATGCTCAGAATGATCAATTCAAAGTGCTTAACAATCCTTTTTGCAAATCAAATAACATTTGAAATTCCAATTTACAGCTGATTAGTAGACTTCTATGATGGTCAGTGTTTCAAAAGCGGGCACAAGTCAATTTGGAAAATTGATTATACAGGAAATATGAGCCATTAAGTTTATTGTAAATATAACATATGAAAGCTTAAAGTGTTATTTTGTAGATAAAACCTAAATTTATTTTGTCCCATAATAGTTACAAAAGCAGAAACATAAATTTATAAATTATTTTTTAAATAAAACACATAATACTTTTTATAATATATTAGATAAAATTAGGCAGTTGCCTCTGGCAATGTAGTAATAATATCCGAATCTCCAGGGTCAGTGATAGCCAGTGTGCACACTCTATAGTATTTACCACACGCAGTTCCTAATTCAATGTTGTTGCCGCTGTAGTGGTGCACTCCAGTTTTAGCCAAAAGAGCATAATACTCAATCTCAGATTTTCTGCAAATTGATTGTTCAATTTATCTAATTGTAATTATAACATAACTCAGTGTCCAAGCACATCAATTGAGAGTTTAACATTTTATCAAAAACATTTACTCATATTCAACAAATACACCATGAGCACTCAGTATCCAGGTGCTGACTGGCCTTTAATCCAATAAACTCAAGCAACCGAGTTCAATCCGCTGTGCTGGCATCAATGAAAATGTTAATTTTAAGTGCCAAATTATCACATAGTCAGGGGTGAAACATTTTGATGAAACCTGCATATTTTCAAAATAAGAATAAAAAAATACATTTCGAAGATATTTGAAGCCCGCCAATCCTCATTGAGGCCGCGTGATGGATTCTACTATGTACCCTCTATACAGACTCCTTTGCCCTGCAGGGGGACATGTACAGCTGATACTTTACTAATTATAAGATTGCTGCAGTTTATTTTCAAAGGTATTATCAAATACATTATTTCTAAAAACAACAGAAAAATGTCAGTTTGATTTTAGTGTTGGTATGTAGTGATAATTACAGAATAGAATAAAAATTTGTAAAAAAAAAACAATAATCTTAAAATAAGATAATGTAACTTTTAAAAAATCCATGCTCTTTTTAGCTTACCTGTTGCGATTAAGCAGCATGGACTTGGACTACTCCATAGGGTTCCCATTTAATTTGACCCAGTAAATTACATTTAGATTAAATTTCGAATTTTAAAGCCAAAAATTAATCTTAATATTAAGCAAGATGTAATTTACACGAGTCAACTTTACGGAAACCATACTTCTTTGTCCTGCGACTCCATATGCTTCCATTAATGGTAAAAAAAAAATGGAAACTCTACTTCTTAGTAGTCTCACCTTAGAGGAGGAGCATTTTTGGCAATAATAACCAGCTTAGCTTTGCCTTGACGTAAAGTCTTTAAAGTTTGCTTGTAACCAAGGCAATACTTGCCCGATTTCATAACCAGTGCTAATCTTGAGTTGATAGACTCAATGGTCTTTTTCTGCAAATACAAAATATTTTAAATAAAACGTAATCACGAAATAGGTTACAGAAATAGGTAAGGAAAAGTTGAAGAATAGCAGATTTAAAAAATTATCACGAACCTAAAATAAAAATAACCTAACTTTAATGTATGTGTCATCCTCAACCTCGCAATTTACTAAAAAAGCGAGCCTATCTAGAAACATTCAATATAGGACTATTAGAAATAAGTTAATTTACGTCAAGTAAATAACCACGATCAAGTCCCAATAAAAGCACGTGGAAAAATTCTTACCTGTTTTTTAGCCGCAACCATTTTGGCAGTTACCAGTGGATGATAACTGCAAAAAATTCAAATAATAACCTGTTAGTAGATTGCGTGAATTATAATTATAAAATTACGAAATAAAAAAAATTAATTAGGTACCTCTCAAACCAAACGCTAGGGAAAGAAGAACAATTTGTTTGACAGACTGACAGTAAGACTTCCGCAGCTTTCCCCAGTGTTGCGAGTTTAACGTTACTAAAAAAGTAAGTAGTTTAAAGAAATACTATGATAATATGATATTATACATTATTTTAATATTTGACTGTAATAGCAAATTTTTCCCTATAGTATTCATAAATTTAATAACGGCTTTGGTACTTTACGGTAATAATTAATTACATTACATTAGACCTAAGGCTTTGCTAAATGATGCAGTTGCCAAGGTATTGGCTTCGTCGCTAGGAGTCGTGGGACTCGTGGGTTCGATTTCACAGACAGGTTGGGATGATGTTCAGCTCTTTTGAAGAACCGATTGGTGAGATGTTTAAAACGCTAGCGAATTGTCGCGAGACTGTGTTGTTGTTCCGACATCGTTAGAAATAATCAAATCTAAAAATAGCACGTGCGGTCGTAATTAGTTCACGGTAAAATTGAAACTAAGGACAGCAGCTGCATAGAGCGGTCACCGCGCGCGGGTGGAAGGGAAGGGAACGAAGTTTTACGACATAACGCTATGGACGCCGTGCCGGCACGGAACATCTCCGATTTATCGCGAGCGCTTAATTTTGTTTGTGTGCATGCACAGTAAAATTTAGGTATTTACAAATGACTACTGCATTGTCAATAAGTTCTGTTTTTTAAGGAATAGAATAGAAATTTTTTGAAAAAAAAATTGTTTTTATTTCAAAAAACGATTATACTACCGAGTGTGAACCTCTTATGTGAATTTGGGCACCTTTAGAGAAGCCACCCTGTATATCTTGCTATCACCAGTGAACGTTTTGTCACAATTGGCCGCCCTGGCCTATTGGGCTTTAGGGCAAATCTACCACTGCCCGTCCTGATATGTTTGGGATGATTTAGGCCTTTCAGAAGATGTTCCGTTAAGGGGTATAATTGATCGGGACGGGAGTGTTTAGCTCAAAAGCCAAATTGTGCAACCGGCATGTTGAAGAGCTAACGTAACCTACTTGCATGAAATGATACTTTTGCTTTTGAACATGTCTGTCATTCTTATTCAAAGAGTACTTTTATATATCTGAAATATGATACATATTTTATATATATATATATTCGCGGGCGACGCTAGTTGACGTTAGAGTTTGTGTCGGGTTGGTAATTTGCTGCGCTTACCACCAGAGGATTAGGATGATATTCGGCTCTATCGAAGATAGGTCGTTTGGCCAGGTCTATAAAATATTCGCGAATCGTCGAGAGTCTGCAAACTTTATCAAAATATTAAAGTATAGTAACTTTAGTTGATTCCATTAATATTTTGCATCCTATTTATAAATTGGCTTAACATTAACGTAGTTCAATATTAATGATTTGTAACACCTCTATTACATGCACCATAGATATGGATAGTATAAAGTATAAAGCATGAAATTGTAGCATAAATATCATAATTATATAAGTACAAAATATATGATAATCATATTATCATGTATTTTGTACTTATATTTTATATCATAATATATATACAAGTACAAAATCCAACACTGCACGCGCTACAATACTAGACATAGACAACTTTTGCGTCTTTGAATAATATTAGAAAATATCGTTTTTGATACGATTTCTATATTTAATATCGAAAAATATAATAACATCGGATCAAAATATATCTCCAAAAAATATCGATATATCTATATTTTTCGACATCCCTATTTGTTATTAAAATGTGTCATGTCATTGGTTGGGCGATCCGAAAATTTTCTATACTGGCATACGAATGGCAAGTAAAAAAAATATTGATATATATATCGCTACTATATATATATCAATATTTTTTTTACTTTATAAAAACATTTAACTTTACATTATAAAAATTATCGATATTTATGGAGCGAAAAGTATCGATATATATAGTCATTTTTCGAATGATTATGCATACATATTTGCAAACCACTAAAAATAAGTAAAATAGAAGAGACTTGAACAAAATATATGAAAAGAGTTTTTGAAGTTGACGCGGAGGAGGAGGATGGATATTTATGGTTATTACTTTCCATCTTACTTCTGGGTCAATGATATCAATGGGTGTTCTACAAGGCTCGATTCTCGGGCCATTTCTTTTCCTCGTTTATATTAATTACTAGCGACCGGTCCCGGCTTCACACGGGTGCAATATATTACACATATGAACCTTCCTCTTGAACCACTCTATCTAGTAAAAAAACCGCATCAAGATCCGTTGCGCTGTTTTAAAGAACTAAGCATACATAGGGACAGACAAACAACGAGAAGACTTTGTTTTATACTATGGAGTGACGCACAATAAAGAGACGTTTACATTTCCAGTGACATTTTACCACAGTCACTCACTTGTTTTGCCATTTGCCCTTGCAATTTTATGGTATGCTATTAAGTTCAAATTGACTTTTAAGCATTATTACGAATCTTTTGTTGTTTTTAGACTTTTTTAGGCAATTTTTTAAATTTTATCGACGTATGAGCCATCCTCGTACTTCAAGGAATATTATAAAAAAAAAAGAAGTGAAATCAGTTCATTTTTTTGTCGAGATTTGCGCTAAGCAACAGATTCAGTGATTCATTTTTATATAATATAGAGATTTACTCTACTTAGTAGGAAAAAAACATGACATAGTGTTGTTTGCCGATGATACTTAATTAATTTTTAAAATCAAGCGACGTATTGTAACACTTGACGAGGTAAATCATGCTATGTCAGAAATAGTTCATTGCTATAAGCATTCTTGTAAATGAAAATAAAACTAAATGTATAAAAATTTCGACACTCAATGTATAACACTTGGGTGGTGCCAATGTATTTATAAATGGCGATGTGTTAGGCCTTGTGGATACCACTGTTTTTCTTGGAATAACTCTGGATTCAAAGTTTCAGTGGGTTACCCACATATCCAAACTTGCTAGCAGATTAAGTTCTGCAACATATACTGTAAGAAAAATAAGATGTCAGACTGATGTAAAACAGCTAGAAGAGAATCGTTTATTTTAGTTATTTCCATAGCATAATGTCATACGGTATTTTGCTATGGGGGCATGAAGCCGATGTTGAAACAATATTTATTTTGCAAAAAAAGGGCCATAAGAGCAATTTACAATCTTAATTTGAATGCAACTATGAGAGAGAAATTTAAAGAAATAAATATTTTAACCTTGGCCTTTCAATATATATATGAAAATGTAATATATGTACATAGAAACATTAATAATTTATACAGCGTGTCGTTATCATCGCGACAATAAATGAACACACGTCTAACGCTACTTGCCAATAATCAAAAAAAATATTAACTTTAAACAAAATCCATAATAAAAAAAAAATATTTTTCAAAGAAACTAATTAAGTAAAAAAGAAACAAAATTTGTAACATTCTATATACATCGCGCCACAGCGTCGCATTACAAGCCTCTCCTTCTAACATTATGTTTTGTCTCTTTTAAATTCATTCAACCCATTCATATGCTTTGTGACGTTTACAAATGAACTTTACGTTACAGTTTTATACGTAAGGATGTTCTAAAATTGTTTATTTTGAATAAATTTAATAACTCGATAAATATTGATGTTTAAAGAATGTAAATGTTTAATACAATTTTAAAAAGTTATCATCTATATATGTGTTCATTTATTGTCGCGGTGGTAACGACACTGTATATAATAAGAATACTGATGTACATAATGTAAATACTAGGAACAAACACAAGCTTGTTACTACAGTTACTAGACTCCATAGAGTCAGTAACTCGTTCATGGGATGGTGTATACGCTTCTACAACAAAATTCCAGTTAATGTGCAAAGCCTATTTATTAACAGGTTTAAGAAATTTATTAAAGAAAATCTTGTTAAAAAGGGTTATTATAATATAAATGATTAAAAAAAATAAAATGATAACGATAACAACCCCTGGGAATGAGATGCTCGCTCTTAGGCTGTTTTCAAAAAAAAAAAAGACAATGTAGAACAATGTAGAAACAATGTAGAAAGAAGGCGTTAAGATTTTCATCGCTGTGGCTATCAGCCGTTTAGCTCAGTGGCTAGAGCGTCAGGTCGCGAATGCCGAAGACGTGGGTTCGATTCCCACAGCGGCGACAATCTTTTCGTACTTTTTCTACATGTTTAAAAAAAAAAGAATTATGTACAGCATAACAATGTAATTGTTTGAACAACAAAATTACAGAAAAGAGGATACCTACGGAGTTTCTTTCGCCTGTTTCTTCTCCGTTAGAGGAAACTCATTACGAAGAGGTGCTAGATATAAAAAATGACTATCGATACATAAATGAAATGTATATTTCTTGTTTCGATGAATGATTTGATTTGATTTGACATCAGGTGAACCGCCAGTACGCTTGCCACCTTCTCACATTAAAAAGTCTGAAATAAATATTGAATATCGATATATCGACAATTATATGGAAAAAAATCGATACTTTTATGTATGGAGTCTTACATCACGGATGCCAACTAAGGAGTTTTCTTCCTAAATTTAGGAAGAAAAAGTTTAAAATGGAAGTTTTTTAGGAGGAGAAATTTTTTGGGAATATTTTTAGGAATAAAATTTTATTCACATGTATGAAAAAAACCCATACAATTTTAAACACAAAATATAATATAATAGTAATGGCAGCATTGTATATTGTATATAACAGTGACTACAGTTGGCTGCATTGGCTTAAGTAGTATTTTAAATTGTTCCGCCATAAACGCTTATTGTGAATATAAGTGTACTCGTAATATATTCATTCAATAAGTAATAAAATGTCAAAGAGTGAGAAAATTGCCATCGGATATGTTCAAAAATTTAAAGGCATGTTTAATTCAGATCTTTTATAATTGAATGATACTTATTTCCATTGTTTATTGTCTGATTCTTAAAAATAATGAAAATAATTATAACGTCATAATAATATGTATTTAATTTGTATAAATATTTTTCAAGTCAATGAACATGAACATGTTAAAGGTGAAGTATATTAATTAAATTAATTTTTAAATAAAACAGTTTTGTTCTACCTTGTTAAATAATTTAAAAAAGATAACTTTTTAAATTTAGGAAGTTTTTTTTCAAAAACAGTGGATTTTAGGAGGTTTTTGAATTTCTTTAGGAGTTTTTTTTTCAACAGTTGGTAACACTGTCTTACATGCCTTAATCTGTCAAGAAATTATTTTACGTTTCATTTCATTCATTTCATGTTTCATTCATTGAAAGCGTTACAATTTAACAGTTTTTAGTTTCTACTGTATTATTATTAAAATTTCACAGACTTACATATTTTGTTGCTCGCTCCATATACAAGTAACATTATTAAAGAAATGTCTGAAAAAGAAGGTAAAACCGCTAAGAGGTCTGAACCTCAAACATTTTCAAAATTGTATCTTATATCTTATAACACTATTCAGACCTTGGGGTACGTAAAATTTGTTTTCTTGTTAATATATAGTTATTATTAATATATAGTTATGTTTAAATAATAGTCATTGCATCTTCAACGTTTTTCTTTAGGTTTCTTTAGGAATTCATGGTGGTAAAATAAACAAAAACCTTGAATGCTTTAGAAATACTAATTTTCTGTCTAATTTTGTTTTAAATTCTATATATAATATATATGAGTCTTTGTTAGATCGTTTATTTTTACTTGAGAAACCACATTATTATTTAAAATTGTGTTATTTTTAGATGGTCATATTTGTTGTGGCAGTCTTTAGTACATTTTTTAAATCGGGGGACATTAGATACATATTGGGAAGAAATAAAATGGACTGTGATTATTTTTCAAAACGCAGCAGTTTTAGAGGTTGGTATATTTTATATTACTTTTATTGGGTAAAATTTTGAAGAGTCGCCTTCGTAGGGGCATCGAGGTTGGGTGGGGGAGGGGGGGTGATGTCTTGAGTCACCCCCCCTTTCCCCTCCCCCTCTCCTGAGACGCATAGGTTTTGTATTATACAATTTTTAATTTTATTTATTTAATAGAAGGTACTAAGAATGTCACAGGGGAGGGTTCCTGGTGGTTATAAAAAAATAACCACGAAAGTTAAGGCGGGAATTTGCTCCCGCCTGCAATTTTTATGAAATACATAACAATTTAAATCCATAGTTCATTAGTCCAAATACATGTAACACTTGTTAGTTAAATAACATTTTCAAAGAAAAATTTAAATCTGTACATTAGATGATATATTAATCCTTTTTTCAAAAAAAATTGTCCCACATTCCTTTTTAAAAGAAAATATGCTAAAAAAATAATAAATAACTAAATACCTCACTTGTATCATATACAGTGTGTCATTAAAACCGCAACAATAAATGAACACACATATAAAGGATAGCTTTTTAAAATTGCATAAACATTTACATTATTTAAACATCAATAATTACCGAGTTATTAAATTTTCCAAAACAAATAACTTTAGAACATCCTTAAGTATAAAACTATAACATAAAGTTCATTTGTAAAGGTCACAAAGCATATGAATGGATTGAATGAATTTAAAAGAGACAGTGGCGGATTTACAAATATGTCGTTAAATAGGCTGTTCAGTTTTTGCCGCCCCTACTGACCTCTGAAATTCGATACCCTAGTTCGCAATCATATTATAACATTTGTGCTGTCAATAAAATTGCTACTTTACGATTTGTGCTCTATCGTCTTCAATACATCATTTTTTTTAGGGTTCCTTACCGAAAGGGTAAAACGGGACCCTATTACTAAGACTGTCTTTTGGTCTGTCCGTCTGTCACCAGGCTGTATCTCGAGAACCGTGATTGTTTGACAGTTGAAATTTTCACAAATGATGTATTTCTGTTGCCTCTACAGCAACAAATACTAAAAAAAAAGAATAAATATATATTTAAGTAGGGCTCCGATACAACAGACATTTGTTTTTTTTTGCCGTTTTTATAGATAATGGCATGGAGAACCCTTTGTGTGTGAGTCCAATCTGCACATGGCCATGTTTCTTGTTATAAGAATTATTTTGAACTAGGGTTTCGTTGTGTCAGTTTCTAGATTTTTTTTATAACCCACTATTTAGGGAAGATTGCACGAAAAATAGTTTTAGGTATATTTCCGAGATGAAAAAAGTCAATCATGTTCTAATTAAATTATAAAACGGGTAAAGGTAGGCCTTAAAAATGCTGTAATTTTATTATATACTGATTACTATAAAAATACTTAAAAAATTTCTGTTCAAAATTTTGGGCAAATTTGCCGCCGCCTAAAATCTCCCGCCCTAGGCTGTAGCCTACTCAGCCTGCTGGTAAATCCGCCACTGAAAAGACAAACCATACTGTTAGAAGGAGAGAGTTGTAATGCGACGCTGTGGCAACAAATGAAAAAGTCTCTGAATGTATGAATCAGTCAGTTGTAGAGGTACAGGATGTTACAAATTTAGTTTCTTTTTTTTATTTAGTTAATTAGTTTGTAAAATATTTTAGTTATGGATTTTTCTAGTTTATATTTTTTATGATTATTGGCAAGTAGCGTCAGACGTGTATTCATTTATTGTCGCGTTTGTAACGACACGCTGTATATATAAAGTTGTACATAATATTTATGAGCCCAATTTGAATTTTTTTTGAATCGTCTAAAAAAATTAATGAAAAAAATTATCAGTTTCTTAAAAAAAGTAAAAAAGTAAAGTAACAGCCTATACATGTCCCACTGCTGGGCAAAGGCCTCCTCTATACAGAGGGTATCAGGGCATAGTCCACCACGCGGCCCCACTGCGGATTGGCGGACTTCACATATTTTCGAAATACTTTTTTTTTTGTTATTATTTCGAAAATATGCAGGTTTCCTCACGATGTTTTCCTTCACCGCGGAGCACGATAATTCAGCACTTAAAGTTAAAAACTTCATTGGTGCCGGCACCGGGGATCGAACTCAGGTTGCTCGAGTATACATTGAATTAAGGCGAGCGCCCGGACACTGAGCTATCACGGCTCAGTTTCTTAAAGATTGCATATTTATAATTGTAGTAAATGATTTCCAAAACTTTTTTGCATGATATATTCATATAATATTCTATTTGTAACTAATTTATCAGGAAAATTTTAAAGTAATTTTTTCAATTGCGGTACTTTATTATTTACTTTAAACTTAAATTATCTCTTTGCGATTCTCTGAATCATAAAGTGTTATAAAAGATAGTGTACAGTCACGTAGATACCCGGTGTTCCACTTAAGAAAAGATTGCCTAAATCCTGGCAACTGAGCGGTAACCAATTAGGATGCATTTGGGATTCACTATCTTAGAAACAATAAACTAGTAGCATACTAGCCTCCGTGTTGTTATTGCTGCTATTTTACCTGCTCCCGAAGTTTTCGACTTCCATTATTGTAATTTGACTATTGTGACCTCTGCTCAATACTGGACTGATTTATTGCCTTACGTTGACCTCTGCTTGTATATTATACTGATTGATAGTCTTGTGACTTGTGCTTGTATACCGGACTGTATAATGCCGCGTAATTTGACTACTGTAGAAAGTCACCAAATTTTTTTGTTGCGTTGAGGCTGTAAAATATAAGGTTGGGGAAAAACTCTTTTCGCAAATAGTTTGTATCAACTTATAATATAATTTCTTTGGCTATACCATTTGTATCTGGCTGGTTTTAGTATTATTAAAAAGATGAAAATTGTCAAATGAAATTATAAAAAAGATAATTCCAAATTCAAATTAGGAAAATGTGTGATTTTCATTTGTTTTTGTTACTGTTAAGATGAGTGATTCTAATGAAGAAATTTGATACATTTTGAGATTTTACTATTAAAAAGGTAAAAAGGCAACGCACGCCGCGAAAAAATTTGTGATGATTATTGACCTACTGCAGTGTCTGTGAGAGTAGCAAAAATTTGGTTTAAGCGTTTTCAATCCGAAAATTTTGATGTTAAAGATGCACCTCGCTCTGGGCGCCCTGGTACGGATAAAATGAATGCCATTTTTGAAAAATTGGAGCAAGATCGGCATATCAGAAGTTTCGATGTAGCTGAAGAACTGGGAATTGACCACAAAACAGTTTTCGCGCATTTGAAAAAAGCTGGGTACCCACCCTAGCGCACCTAAAGCGCAGGCGGATTAGTTGTTAGTTTTAGGCACACACCTCCCTGTGGTGTCGGCGTAAGAATAAGCCACCCCATCTCATCCCGTGGGTGTCGTAAGAGGCGACTAAGGGATAAGCCACAAACATCCGGTGGCCTCCGATAGATGGCGGGATAACCATCCTAACTCTCTCCAGACCCAAATATCCAGGCCAACAACGGGCAGCAGCGTTGAAGGTGCGAGGTGTCTGGAAGAACTGCGGTTGCCAACCCGCTCGCCAAGCGTGGCAACTATGGCAAAAACCCCTCATGAATGGAAGTCCAAGGTGTACGGCCCCCAGTCCCCGGCGGCCCTGCTATTCCTGGCTACGGTAGCGGTCATGGTAACGGCAGGGCAGGGGGTGCTAAGAATCTCCGGCTAAGATTCGGCTACCAACGACGGCGACTGGACCTGGCAACATACAACGTAAGAACATTGAGGACTGACGAGAAGATAATAGAGCTGGAAGAAGAGGTAAGCAGTCTGCGTTGGGATATAATAGGATTATCTGAAGTCCGAAGACAGGGGGAGGACACGATAATCCTTGAATCCGGCAACCTGTTTTACCACCGGGAGGGCGACCAACTGTCCCAAGGAGGTGTCGGATTTATCGTCCACAAGTTTCTCATTAACAACGTTGTTAAAATCGAGGGTGTGTCGTCGAGGGTCGCGTACCTTATACTCAGAATATCCAAACGGTATTCGCTGAAGGTCATACAGGTCTACGCACCAACGTCCACACATCCCGATGATGAGGTGGAGGCAATGTATGAGGATATATCACGAGCCATACATTCCTCCAAAACTCAGTACATGGTGTTAATGGGAGATTTCAACGCAAAGCTAGGCAAAAGGAAAGACGATGAGCTGAGAGTAGGTAGTTTTGGAATAGGGCAACGGAACCCAAGGGGCAGCAGCTGGCTGACTTTATGGAGAAAGAGGGACTCTTTATGATGAACACTTTCTTCAAAAAGCAGCCCCACAGAAAGTGGACCTGGATTAGCCCCGATGGTTCTGTAAAAAACGAGATAGACTTCATTATGACGAACAAACGGCAAATATTCAATGATGTCTCTGTGATCACAAGGGTGAAGACCGGAAGTGATCACCGATTAGTGAGAGGCACATTGAATATTAACATTAGGCTGGAAAGATCTCGTCTGATGAAGTCCACATTCCGACCATCTCGTGGCCATATCCAGAACTCCGAAAGCTTTCAGCTCGAGCTACATAATCGTTTTCAATGCCTAGAAAATTGCAGCACGGTGGACGATATTAATGCAAAGCTCGTGGAAACTGTCCATGTCGCGGGTCTTAAATTTTATAAGGCCCGCCGCAAAAATAGAACACAAAAACTCTCTGATCACACTCTCAACCTCTTGGGAAAAAGACGAGAGATGCGGTTGCAGTCTTTAACTGACATGTCGGACTACAGGCGGCTTAATAGGCAGATCTCCAAATACATGCGGTGAGACTTACGCAACTTCAATACAGGTCGTATTGAGGGAGCTATAGAGCGGAACCTAGGCTCAAAAGTCTTCGCCAGAGATCTGTCTATCGGACAAAGTCAACTGACTAAGTTGAAGACTGACAGCGGCGTTATCATCTCCAGTAGACCAGAGGTTTTGAGTGAGATAGAGAGGTTCTATGGACAGCTAGCTGTACACATCGTCGTTGGAGCCACACATATGTGTGAGTAACGACCCAAGA